TTTACCGCCATAAAAATAGGGGTTGGTAGAAGGGCGAAAATCTAAGGTAAAATTATTTTTAATGTCGGATCATAAAACATAATTAACTAAAAATTACCAAAATAAAAAGCAAAAGCATTGGGAGAGAGCCACCCATACCACCTAGAGGTAAAAAATAGGCTTCGACTTGTTCTCAGAACTACCAAATATAATATAAATACTTACACAGAAAGTTAATAAGTAAGTATAAGTATCTATATTATATATATATATATATATATATATATATCTTATCCATAAGTTTGTATGATTTAAGTTAAATATAGTTATTTAATCACTGTTTAATGCCCGCCCGATATTAGTGAAATCGTAGTGAAATTATTGTACCAATTTTTGGTTGACTTTTCTTGAAATCCAATACCCACAAAATACAGGGAACATAGCGGTTGCGTGCGGCGCGCGTGCCTATAGTAATTATATGAAGAAAATCATTCTGTATAACACAAGCCTGAGAACAAAAACTATAGTCTACATTACTATTAAAGTATTATATATTTTAATTTAAATCCCTACTATCCAACTCCAAAATTAATGTGTTTAGAATTATATCGTATATGTGCAATGATTCCTCAATAACCTTCCATTATATACATGTGCGTAGCGTATTTCCCCACACCGTAAATCTGGGTTATCGGCATTTACTGTCACGATCAACCCGTTTTCATATTATAAGTAGGTAGTCCTTTAAAAAGCCGGGCTCGATAATGCGTTAGGAATTACACATAACTATTGAGTGAGTCAGGACATAAAAATCCCCATACCAGTTCTAAATATATAGGTGATAAATATATAGTTTTAAATTACAATTCAAAGTAAGCTAAAATTTTACGGAAAAACAATTAGCGAGTGCAATAATTGATATTTTTTAATGTTCAATAGGTTTTGTGTTTTTCTTTCCTCTATCGGGCCAAGATTGGAAACTGGTTTAACGGTTTAAAAGATCAAGATGCGTCTTACTAGTTGACCTCATGATTACGCACTGCTGGTGCATGACGCGTTTATGTGCGTTGCGAAACGCAAACCAGCACGAGATCAAGATTTGCGCATTCCAATGTTACGCGATTATATAACTTTTTTTTTAAGTATTTAAAATAAATGTATGAAGTGCGATAAGATTACTTTACCTTATTAATTGCTTCAGTTTGATTGAAAGTTTTAATTCGGAATACCTGAATAAATAGATTTTCCTCTTTTTTACTAACAAAATTGTCCTATGTACCTTCAAGTAGCGATCTTTTTCTTCATTTCAACCAAAACGCTGACTTTCTCCAATCCGAGCGACAAATCTGTCATAGAGCAACACGGATTCGTGTTCTGTTTTGCTCGTTGGCCATACCCTTGCTCTCTTGAACATCTTTGTCCAGGCAATTTAACTAAAATACTGGCGAAGGTATGCTGCTTCTGTTGTGCAACTTTAGCTGAGCTAGACCATCGCACATGGCCTATTCGTAAACTGTGGTCGGTAAAGGGCTAGCACCTGGAATGTTTTGTTTCTGGATAACATCCCGCCAAACGTGACAAAGCTTGGTTTAGGTATGACTATGTTAGTGACAGATAAATAAATAAATATTTCCAACACTCACACCAATTAGCCTAGCCCCAAAGTAAGCACTTTAAGGGTTGTGTTATGAGATGCCAGGGTAATGGATAGAATACGTATAGTGTACATATATAGGTATATTTATATATAAATAAATATCAAAATATCCATGACTGGAGTACAAATGCTCGTATTCATCACACAAACATCTGCCCCCACCGAGATTCGAGCCCGGGACCTCTCGAGTCAGCGACACCACGAAACCCGGCGCACAAACCACTCGGTCACGGAGGTCGTCAAATGTGAATGTGACGCAGTAATCCGGTTATTTTAGCCTAGTAATTGGAAGCCTAAGCCGTTCATGAAACGCCGAATAGTTAATTGTTATAGAATCAGCCAATGTTTTACAATTAAGCGTAATGAAAGTCTGTCCGTTGAACATGACTGAACAATACCCAATCAAATAATTAAAATTTAGTTCATTTTTTTTATAATTTGGTCCATTTACTAGTAATCTGAATACTAGTAAATACCAACCTTACCTAACCCGACCAAAAATCTTTATCCTTAATCATCAGAAAACCTTAAATATTAAGTTGATATGGCTGCAACATGCCTACAAGAACATATTATTTTACTTACGAGCTGCACCTCTGATGCTCTACCAACGCCGCAAGGAAAATATGGCGTGGAAGTAAGTTAAATACATATTGGTGTCGATTCTGGCACGATTCTTTTAACCGCAACTTAAAATTAACAACAGTGTATCCTTGTCATTCTCTATATAGAATGAAAAGTAGAGACTGATGTTAAATTAAGTGTTAAGTTTAGAGAATCGTGCCAGAATCGACACCAGTGAATTGTAATTATTGTCGTATATTTTTATAATGACATCATGCAGCCATTTGAGTTACACAATCTAATTGCAAAAATATTTTTTGTATTTTTATGATAAATTTATCGATGAACTGTTTAACCAGCTGGAAGCAACAGTGCTTTGGTCTTTCTTAGAAAAGTACTTAGTTGATGGAAAATATTTGTTGTTTTCCTACATTTTTATTAGAGTATTGAACTGCTACACAAAAATTAACTCTGTCCAGGTATTATCAATCGCGTTGCGCCTTAAACAAGCGCCCATCTTTATATTCGCGCGAACGCTAAAGCTAACTTTAAAGTAAAAAAAATATCAATAAAACATTAAAATTATATACTTATAGCAAGCTTTTCATAAAATAGTCACATATTAGATAAACTGAAGCTTGGTAATAGTATCAACATGGTATGAGTATTTTTATTTAATTGTTTATCTGTTGTTCTTGAACTTTATAGTTAGCGTCATCGTTCAATTCAATAGCACTGTTCTAATTAATAAGAATATCAAATTTGCTTTACCCATAAAAATATATTTCTTGTTCATACCCAAACGCTTCTAACTATAAGTAATGATTGCCAGCAGAAAGATTTGAATACAAATCTGATGCAAAAATAAAACAACAATCATAATAATTTATAGCATTTATTAAAAGTACAAAGATACAAAACTCACGTACACTTCAAGTGCAATATACCTATTCCTGATCATAAATAAGCTTTAATTTCAATCAAATTAAGTAGGCACCTAACATATATATTTACAACATACTTAGTCGATCACTCTGTTTCATTATCAAATTCAAGTGTAATCTAATATAGGAAATCCAATATTTGGCACTTATGACATTTTGACGAAGACGTTTTTGAGACTAAAAACAATTTTATATTTAAATAAGATTTTTAATTGCGACTAGGGATTTCGTGAAAATCGCCATAAATCTTTTATCCATAATTATTTATACATCCCGGCAAACTTCTTGAGCAACGACCATAAAAAATAAAAACGTCTACTGCGCAAGATTTTTTTGTGGTTATGCTCAAGAAAATTGGCCTCGTCCTATAATAGTATGAAACGCACAAAGTGTTTATGATTGCTCTCTCGAAATTTTAAGAGAATTAAGAGATTTGGTTAAATTAAAAAATACATTTTGAAGAATAACCTCTCGATTAATTCAACGAATGCTGTATGAGAAACACAAGCACCTTACGAAACACTGGAAAACAAGTGTGCAATTTCGATAGGTAATTTATTATTCTTTAATTTTAAAAAAATGTGAAATATGTAAAATTTTCTAAAAGTTTTGATACAGAGTTCTTTTCTTATTCTTCATTTTGTAAAGAATAAACAACATTTTAGAGCAACATATTACGATTTTAAATCACATTTCTAATTAACATTGTATGGCGAGTCGAGTTATATAGTATTTATCCAATATGAATAAAAATTAATACTTACCTTTAATCAAGGTAATATAACATATACTTCATGAAAACAGAGAAGACAATTCATTATTTGACCACATCGTGTTTAGCATTGTTAATTAGTAAACTATGGCTAAAAACTTAGTTTAATACCTACTTAGTTATATAAGTGTAATATATAAAATATAATAAAGTATGTACAGATTAGTGTCCTATTTTAAATTTATTAAAGGTGCCTTATGCCTTAATGCATAAGCTAGATTAGATATTGCGCAGTTTATAAAACCTAATATAAAATTAAAAATTTGGAGGTAACTTTTTAGGTAACTATTTCATATTTAAGTAGTAAAATTTTACAGATACTATCAAAAAGGATAAAAGAAGGAAGGGGGAACCATTTGTTTTTGATAAAAATGTAAAATTAAATAATAATATTTTGTATGCAAAATATTAGTATTTTATTTCAAATCACTAAAACCAAAAAACACGTGAACATTTATTAACCGACCCGTTATCATTGCTCTTGAATGTACTTCATAGACATATTTTATTCATATTATAAGCTACTGTAACGGCATAGGTATGACACTTTTTAATTCAAATTATTTACATACAATTCGGTTTGAATTTATTAACAAAGAAGACCGAGAGACCTTAACATATGTGGATGCTCAATGTGGATGAGATATTAAGCAGATAACACAGACAGACGACCTGTTGTATAGTTACCCTTTAAAGCTTTTCTTGATAGAGTTTTGATTTCAATTATTTTGAAGTGAAAAGATAAGACTGCTGTCTGAGTTACAAATAACACGAATAGCCATGAGTTGGCGTGTCGGCTAGGAGAAGATTGATATTATATCTTTCAACGTATCGTTGTAATGTAAAGAGTTTTATATTTATCAAGTGCGTCGTTGAGATGTTGCCTTCATTAATTATCGAAACAGGCAAATAAGTAATTTTTCGTAGATGGATGTCAATAGATGATGGCGTTGGATTGTCGCAAGTCTAGTGTTTTGTCACGCCTCGTTAGAGGGTGGCGTTGAATTGTCGCATGACCAGTATCTTGTCGCCCGTCAGTAGAGGGTGGCGTTGTATGGTCGTACGACCGGTGTTTTGTTGCGCGTCAGTAGAAGGTGGCGTTGGAACGTCGCGTGGCGCGGCGCAACACGTGCGGCTGCAGAGAGCCATAACCGCTCTCAGGGATGCGGAACACTCGTAGATTAATCTGTAACAAATTAATAAATTTTAATAACGTAAGCACGAAAAAATCACGTTGTATAGTAGTTTTTGCCTTTTATTTTCAAAATGTCAATTTCGTAAGGACCAACAACAAGCAGGACCAATAATTAGAAATAATAATTTCATTTCAAAATTAGTTTTCAAATTACCATTGACGTATAAAAACAAGATAAGAACCCACCAATCGGCACTGTGCCCGCGTGCTGGTTAGCGGGTTATGTTCTGTTCTCCCTATTACATCCATAAACAAGCTTATCCACGGACAAGAGTGAGCAATTTCTACCCTAGAAATCTCTCTGCCCACCATAGAATTAAAAATATTGTAACTTTCAAAAATCATATTTTAGGCTCGTACGATCAATTTAAGACTTTGCGAGTATTATATGGAACCCATACATACTACTAAAATGATATAAAACGCATTGACAATGTTCAAAAGAAATTTATTAAAATATTTAATTTTCATACTGGAAAATATGGTGAGTCATATGAGTTATCCCTAAAACGTAATAAATTGTAAACCTTACAAAATCGACGAAGGCCTCTCAATCTGCTGTTTCTTTATAAATTATTAAAATCATTCATTGCCTCCTCTATACTTCTATTGATAATTAATTTTATAACTAAAGCTCGGTTACTATCTGTGCCGCCTTGCTTTTAGAAATTATATACCTCTAATAGTTATTTTGCTCGCTGTTTAAATGAATACAATCGTGCATTCTCTGAAGTTGACATATTTAACATATTTAACTGTACTCTTAGCAGTTGTAAATCTAAAATATTTGATAAACTTCCAATTGTAAACAATTACGTAATTTTTATATAGATAATATAGTATTGTTATTTTTATCTTAAATTTAAAATTATCGAAAATCTTGCTTCCCTTCTTTCTTTCCGGAAAGCCTTGTGGAAGCGCGTTTAGGCCCATCGCACCTCCGCGCAGAATTGCAGCTTCTCTGTGGGAAAATCTCTGTCCCCGTAGAGAAATTCCTGTCCCACAAGGTAGGCCTGTGCTCTAGCAGTTATTCTTATGATACAAACCTCGTGCTTAGAAACAGAGCGCCTGAAGAACTTGTGGAAACGCGTGGAGAGTCCCCAGACCGCACCGTTGTCGCGCTCGGCCCACCGAACCTCTGCGCAGAATTGTAGCTTCTCCGGATCTATCGCCAGCAACCTGCATAAAAGCATTAGTATTTATCAAACTATAATTCTAACAAACAAATCCTATCAACAACCCATGGCCTGAAGTAGCGGCAGACACTCTGATGGCCTCCACCAGAGTGTTTGCTGCCTTGGGTATCATGTAAGGATTGTAAGAGGTCCAAATTGTTTCCTATGCCCACTTGCACCAATGGCAATGTTCTGAAATCTAATTCAAGACCTAATCACGATAAACCTCTCATGCCGTCTATGTCATTGGACTTAAAGCAATTGACAAACATGCAATGATGTACTTAACACGATTAAGCCTTAATTTGAATTAAGAACTTTATTACAAGTGGTCCTTAATCTATCACTAGCGACTGTCAACCGTTAGATACTTTAATTTATGTAAAATTAATGTACAACAACTATAATAACAAAAATAAAGTTTACTTTTGATGAATCAGCTCTAGATTATTAAAGAAGTCTCAGTGAAATCTCAATATTTAGAGGAAATTTTGTTAACTACCGATTTACAACAAAAACACGTGAGAAAAAAGCACCACTCACAACATTGTTGTTTTGGAAAATATCCATTGACGTTGTACAAGCTGTACCAACACCAGCTGATATAACTTAAATAAATATTGTTGCGAATTTTCACTATTGGCATAGTCTAAATTTGCATGTAAATAGCTTTTTCCTCATTAAAGAAACAATTCTTAATAATGAAATGACTCATTATTTAACTTGCCTGAGGTAAAACTTGAATACCTATTATTAAGGTAATTGACCTTAATTCAGTAACACATTGTTCAGTTTCACGGCAATTCCTTCTTGTTTAACACTATAAAAGAATGTGTTTGTCAAAATAAAATGCCTTCCTTTATAGATAGGAAATGTGTAGGTATTATTTTACACGTGGGACCATACAAATTATGGACAATATTCACAAAATAGCTATTGAACCCGCATTGAATTTTGACCACTTGTTTAAACATATCAGTAGACAAGGCAGATACTAAAACTTTTGTAGACTGTAGTGGTGATAATATTTTTCTAAATATGGAAAATAACTAAGACCCAAATGAGGTGTTTATTAATTAGGTAGACGTGTGACTCATACTTATTCTCATAGATAGACATATTGTTACTTTTGTAGCTCTACCAACCCAGCAAGGGCCCTAAACAGTTTCAATGTTTATTGCCCATTTTTTTTAGTGTGAAGTTTTTCTAGTAAAATTTCTTTGGATTTAAACATCTAGCGGTTAAATGCTTTAAATAAGAATATTATAGTGATAATGATGAATTGAGGACGTCCTCCTTTTGGTAGTCGGGTAAAAATAGATGATATAATATATTTATTGTTGGAGTTTGCCCGGAATGTAGATCTGTGAGGGAGAATGGTAGGTACTAATTCCTTATGCACATTGACATATTAACTGTCGGCTTGCAGAGCCCAGTCCAATTTCTCAATTATATTACTCAGTCTGAATATGCCTACCTATGTGATTATATTTTATAAAGTATAATGATAATTGCCAAAGATTAAACAAAAAGGCTGATGTCTTACTTACTTATGAGAGTTCGTGATGGGGTTCCAAGCGGCAATAGCGGTTTCAGTGATCGGGCTGAAGATGATGGTGTCATCCCGAGGGTCCACAGCGATCCCCAACCCTTGCGACGACTTTCGGCCCACCAAGTTCACGGGCAAGTCGGTGCCTTCAGCCGGTGGGCCCGCGGCCAGCACTGCAGTCGACACGCTGAACACCCTGGAAACATTGTTTTGTTTTATACTTTAGTCGGTGCAGCAATATACCTCACCCCTCCAGATATATTTGTTTAAGATGATTTTTGTTCAAATTTATTTTATGATGGGGTCATGAATAATATTTTTTTTTCTCTCATATGTTTACTATATGTTTCCCATATGTTATTATGTCAAATTCTCAAGTCAAATTCTTTGCTGTTGTCGACAAATGCAATATAATATATAAGCTGATATTCATTGTACTTGTCTAAACTAGATGTACTATATGAATGTGGTCAATCATAGAGTAGTCTTACGAATTCCAGCCTGCTCGATGGGTTGATGTTCATCTGGTGTGTTTTCAACCCGTACCAAAATTATCTTAGCAAATCTTACAGACGTTGGACATCGTCTAACTGTGGCCACAATTCCAACGCGTACAAAGAAATTTGGTGACTCATTTCTTTGTCGCACTATCCGTAAATGGAATGCTCTGCCCGCTCACGTGTTCCCTCCCTCTTACAACCTGGGATCCTTTAAAAGAGGCGTGAATAAGCAACATGCAGGCCGGCAGGGTGAAGATGGCTGGTGTGGCAGGTAAAACTGCTGTATCAGCTATCGTCACGTCTGGACTTCACCTTCACTTAACATCAGGTGGGGTGGAGTCATCTGTCGGACCTATCTATAAAAAAAAAAAAAAAAAAAACATAAGACTGATGGGGCGATAGTTTCCAATATCATATTTATTACCTTTCTTATACAACAGTACCCCTAGCACGAACCATTATCGAATTCGAATTAAATAATTATGCAATCACCAAAGCAAAGTTTATAATATTTGATTAAACTAAAGGCGCATAATAAAATTTTCATAACGTTAGGTAGAGCACCATAGCAATCTCATTTATTATCAATTTATAGTTCTCTTTGTAGTTTTCTTTTAAAGCGTTCACATTTAACAGGTCAAAGACTTTGTATTCGACCCTTTTTTATTGGTAGTGTAAAGCTCGAATGAAGAGTACTCCCAGTAGTGCAATTATGGCAATTATTTTCCAAATTTTTTTTTGTTATAAAAATACCGAATAACGTATCACTGTTAAGCACAAATGCTAAGTAACTTTTACAAATATAATCAAATAAACCTATTACTTACTTTATTTTTAAATCTTTTTCATCAATTAAATACTTATCTTATCCTAACTATCTATACTAATATTATAAAGAGGCAAGATTTGTATGTTTGTAACAAATAATCTGTCAAACTACTGAACCGGTTCCAAATATTAATTCATCATAAGGTAGCTACATTATTTATTATAACATTTTTCTTTATTTAAATACATTTTGTCCGAGTGACATAGGCTATATTTTATCCCGATAAATAAATTTCGCCCGTACAATGCCCGGGTGGATCACTAGTAAGTATAATATAATATTATAGATGCGAAAGTGAGTTTGTTTGTTGCGCTTCCGTGCCCTAATAGCTAAATCGAATATAATGAATTCCCATAAGTAGATGGGAACTTGGTTCTTAGCTACAACATCGCAATACTTATAGGCGTAGGGTGATGAAAGGGGTGATTTACCTATAAAAATCTACATTATTTACTTTGAATTTTGCAGAATTATTACAAAACCAATATTATCGCGAGCTGATTAATAAATACAGGGATTCCAATAAGTATGTACTTACTAGCGAAAAATGGGTTATTTGTCATTATATTAAGTAAACCTTTTTTGTAACCTTAAGTAATATCGTTAAAAAAAATTAAAAATAGAAAAATTCTGAGTTTTTCATTAAAATTCAATAATCATAAATACCTATTATGATAATATATTTTTCATCATTTAATAAGAAGGAACTGTATCACAGTTTTAATGTTAGTACTTCGTATAGGATCAGATACTGCGAATACCCCATTTTTTTTCTTCTACATAGTACACCGCGCTATCACTTTTTCATCGTTGTAACTTTTTAAATATTTGTCGAAATGACATAGTGTAAAAAGCAAAGTTTGTCTTTAAATATCAAAAGCGATTAAAGTATTTGTTTTGATAAAAAATGATTTGTTAATACAAAATGTGCATTTTGGAAATAGATATCATATAATATTTTAGTTTTGATTCACTATTTTAGCGGTAATGACTTACACATTAAAAATAGATATATGGTGTCACCGACTTTTTTTAGAACTATTTAAGAGATACATTTTCACTCTACATTACATTCATGTAACTTTTATTGTTTTTGCAGTGCAGGCCAAAATGGCTCGCAGATGGGACATTTTTTTCCGTCTTATGTGACACTTATTGCTATATATTGGCCAATTCACTCAATAACTACATAAATTATTATATATATGTAATTATCATATATGAGCTATATTACTGTTAAGTTTCATTAAAATCCATTCAGTATTTTTTAGGTGAAAGAGTAACAAAGATCCATACAAACGTAAGATTGAAATTAAAAGCGTAAGTGGTTAATATACAACTTTAAAGCGTTGTAGATCCTAAACAATCATATAAAATGAAAAATGGTGTTAGAAACCTAAATATGATTTATGATTATCTAGACAGTGATACCCCACTCGACATATTTTGTCAACTTTATTTTTTTACTTCGTCACAATATGGCGCCTAATTTTGCCCATACTGAATTTTGATTACTATCATATCTTTAGTAGCACTCCCATGATTGAGACGAATCGATTGATGTATGAATCATTAAAATCGGTCCAGGCGTTTCGTCTCTAGTGTGCCACAAAGGAACAAACATACATATATAGACTGTTAAACACATAACCCTGTCTGCGCGTCGCGCTTCGCGCTCTTGCATTGCGCAGCCGGGTAAAAAGGGAAGACACGGCACTCGCAGCTCAAAAGTGGTCCCCTTAAATTGTGGTGCATGAACACAAATAGCTTTAGTCACAATTGGACGTTCAAACACGCTGCATGTGCAATATAACTTATATAGCGTATATTCTGTGTTATAAAGATAAAACAATGCCTTCGATGCTCTTATAAAAAACACAAATAGTTCAAAATCAAATTAAAAAAAATATTTTTTTCTCAAAAATCACGGTTTGTCGTGAATGTTATTTACGTAATCGCCATATTGTTATCAAGAAAAGGACAACAATACAGCTCAGCCGTACGGACTCGTAAGCGGACTCGCCGTTTCGCTCTCGCTGGGTTGAAGTAAACATTTCTGTCTCACTCGCTCGATTGTATCTTCCCTTTTTTGTTTTAATCTAAGGTACACGGTAACAATCCCGTTAATAGCTATAATGTTAGTGACCATAAAAGTTTAAAATAATATATCAACAGTATGACGTTAGATTCTATGCATTGCTTGGGAATTATTTCAGTGGTTATGACATTGTTCAATATCTATGTAAAGACAAGTATTAAAGATTTGCTTTGTCTTAGGATTTCGTTATTTATGCCATCTGGACCTTGTGGTTGATGATCTACTTTTTGGGTATTTATAGCATTCGTGGCCTCAGCTTGAAGAATGCTAGCGATGTCTGAATTTTCCGCCATATCAATTTCACCTTCCGTTGTGTTACTTTCGTATAGTTTCTTGTAATAAGATGTAGCTGTTCTATTAAGAACAGAACAGAACAAAAAATTGCAGAACAGACATTAATATGTCTGTTCTGCAATATTTCCATTTTCCAGCGCAGCTTTTCATTTTAACGATCCAATACATTGAATTCTTTAACTCTTTCTGTACTTTTTTGACTGCTTCCGTTTTGCTTATATACTTTTCTATAATATCCTTTCTGCTTTGATTCCTATCCATCCTTATGCTATTTTTATGTCTTTACTATTTTTTGTTAAATGTTTTCTTCTGTTTTATGTATCCCTTGAGCTAATAAACTGATTTCTTTCTCCTAGTAGTTTTATCATGTTTGTCGCTAGCCATCTTAGCGGTTCTTTTTCGTATTTGCGTTAAGTTGTATCTGGGATTTGAAGATATTCCCAATTCAGTTGTACTTTTCTTGTGTTTCTAATTTTTTTGTATAACATTTGTAATCTGTGAATTGGTCTCTTAGAGCGATTGTTATTTGTTCTAACTGACGTTTTCCGAACTTTGCATTTCCTGCATCTGGTCTAGGTCTAGACTTTTTCGGTTGCATTGGTACCAGTTCTGCTCTTATTAGTTTATAGTTGGTTTTGAAGTTCAATTTATTGATTACAGTAAAGTTAGTAAAATAATTGTTTTTATTGGTCATTATAAAATCAATTTAATTTTTAGTTTTGTCGTCAGGCGAGGTCCAGGTCAATATATTATTCTTATTTTTCATAAACATGGTATTTAAAATGTTAAGGTTATTTCCGAGTACAAAGTTTATAATATATTCTCCATTTCTACTTCTTGTTTTATTACGGTATGCAAATGTGCCTAGAACTTTATTTTCTTCTGGGCGTCTTTCTCCAATTTGGTCATTACAGTCTCCCATTACTATAAGGTTTTTATGACCGTGCTCTTTAATCACTTTATGGAGATCAAGGTTGAATGTTTTTATTGTTTCTATATTCGGTTGTTCAAAAGGCGAATATATTTGTACAATAGACTAAGGATCTTTATATCGTGGTAGTTTCAAAATCATCATAGCAATACGTTTCGAGATTCCTATTTATCTTTGTACATCATTTGATATATATTTTTATAATAAATCCAACCCCATACTGGCCCGGGGTCTCCTATATGATAAAGTACTCGTATATAACCTGGATGAGCTATGATACTTTGTATTTAATGCATGCGTACATAAAATCTGTAAGATTTTCTCCATTTTTCAGAGTAAGTGCAATGTAGATTTTAGACTTTTGGAGTTTATGATTTTTGTTATTTCTTATTGTTGGATGGTAGTGGTCTCTTACCCTCACGAGGACCAGTCGGCTTGGCGGAGGATGGTGTTTTCTTCTTTCTTTGTTTTCAGTTTCTTCGATTGGTTTTGGTTTTCATTGGCCGATTCTTTATTGCTCTTGTTTCTTGGTAGTGGATATATTGGAAAGAGAGGTGGATCTAGATCGCATCATATAAAAAGCATTTGACCTATTTGACTTGATTGAAAATACCATCTGTTGTTTTTAAGGCTGATTTGTTTTTAATTTTGCTTTGCTCTATCGCCTTACTATTTGTCTCCAACAATGATACTGGTTGACTGGTAGAGATTGTCTATGGCATTAAGTCCGCCGTTTGCTTATGTTTGGCAATAAAGTTAAATTAATAAAAAAAAATGTACAAATTTAAAATCGAAATTTGAAAGACTTATTCGAATGTTAATCTAAGGTTGTAAATATTGAAAGTCTCTTTTTTGTGGGTATCAGAACCCAGGACAATGAATCTTGCATTATGAATCACAACAATCCGAGTGTCAAATCATCAAATGCTTCCAAGCTGGTGTCAACGCACTAAAACACCAACGATCATAATTTTACCAAAACTACGCGAAATCTTAATTTGGAGAACTCTACTTATAATAAATTTTCTACATAATATAAATATAGCTGAATGGCTAGTTCCTTATATCAATGTTAAAAAAAAAACCTGTCTATTACTTAAATATTAGCACATTTTACTCGGACTGTGACTGAGCTACGTAACGTAACGTAAAACGATTAAATTGTGTTAACTTTATAAGAGTCAATTTAGCCTGCCCATACGAGAGACAATAAAATTGTCCGCGATCTTTTTCGTCCATCAAAATCGATCGCTTACAACTGCATCAAGTAACGCACACGACGAATTAAAAAAACCGCGTGCAAAAAGTGCCTAAGCAACCGAGGACACTGGGAGGCCGGACAGGACAAAAGTAGAAGTGTGTCATTTATTAACATATTTTATGTTCTTTGTGACATAATTAATCTGTTGATCTTAACATAAATTATTATATTAAATTAAATAACTACTGTTTTGAATTAATTTTAAATTAAATAAATGAACAGTTGTATTTTTTAGCGACATGTACCTATTTCTATAGTTATTGATTATGAGTTCATCATCATCATCGACCCATGCTCGTCCACTGCTGGACATAGGTCTTCCCTATTGCACGCCACTGCTCCCGATTTTCTGCCACTCTCATCCAGCCTACTCCAGCCAGCCTACGAATGTCATCATCCCATCTTGTCTAAGGGCGTCCCACACTACGTTTACCGAGTCGCGGTCTCCACTCAAGAACTTTACGGCTCCATCGGCCGTCAGTTCTGCGGCTAATGTGACCAGCCCACTGCCACTTCAGTTTGTTAATTCGGTTATGGTTTTGATTATGAGTTATGTTGGTCGAAATAAATGAATTTTATTTTATTTATTACCTGTCAGTAGCCAAAGGCTGGTAGTACAGAAGTCCCTGCGTGGGCGAGTGGGCGAGGCCGACGATGCCGTCCATGAGCGTGAACTTCTCCCCGCCGATGTCGTACTCCCCCAAATCAGGGTCTGGGTACATGGACGCGTGCGTGACTCGCCACGCATTGTCGCGGCGGCCATCGTACACTATGATTCCTGGAATTTACGTCAGATCGTTGAGATAAGGTTTGGCACAGAACAACACGGGGGCAATCCGAAGTAACGTAGCAGTAAGCCTTCCCGAAACCGAAGAGATCTGCGGTCACGGTAAGATGTTATAGCATTACAAATAAGCGTGGTCAGGGCGCGATATGCTAATGGGCTCCTGCGACCGCACACTATGCAACTGTGTATGTGACCAGGTGGGTATACCAGCGCTGTGTATGTGATGTGGTGGGTATACTGCTAAGTACACATAATCATACCAAAAATACACAATCCTTCAAATAAATTTTAACGTCACTCATTCTTTTTTATGTTTTGCGACGTATGTTAATCATAATTTAACCGGACTGAAGCGCGGCTTGAATGACTGGCTACACGCAATGACAGTCTTTCCCGCGAGCATGCCTGCGCAAGCCAATTTTGCGCAGCCCAATCTTTAAGCCGGGTCTCCAGTGTTTTTCCCTACACAATCAACCAAAACATATCAACATTCAATAAAATCGCCTACACAAAACTTTGCTCCACTACACATATTTGTTCGCATCAACAAAGTTTTTGCTTTCCGAGCCTGATGGAAAACACGTACACAAATCAGCCCCGCGCGGGTCGAAGGGCAGAGTATTGATGGTATCGTTTCATCGCCCATTATTTTGACAACTCGATAGTGGTGGCTGCGATCCAAACTTTTTTTCACTATGTCGTTTAAATTTTTATATAAAACTAGCTGTCCCAGCGAACTTCGTACAGCCATAAAAAAATAGGGGTTGGTGGTAGAAGGGTGAAAATTTAGGGTTGTATGTATTTTTGTATGATGTATCATAAAAAAATTATAAAAAAAATGGGGGGGGGGGGGTACCCTTTACATTTAGGGGGATGAAAAATAGATTACATCCTATTCTCAGACCTACCCAATATGCACACAAAATTTCACAAAAATCGGTCGAGCCGTTTCGGAGGAGTTTAACCACAAACACCGCGACACGAGAATTTTATATATTAGATGTCAAATTTGACATTTGTTGCACCTGGATCGTAGATTTAGAACGTAGCCCTGTGTATATTCTGTACGACAGCTACGAGAGCAGTAGATGGAGTGTGTAGAGAAACATGTTTCAGAAACAGAGTTATGTGTATGTATTTATTTTAATGTTTTCTAAAAACTTTTGCCTGGCTCTAGCATGCCAGCGAACTCAATCCACGCTTCTATGCTGCGCGAGCTACAGTCTTGCATGCATGCGCAAACTGGTTCACTCGCGGGAAATACTGAGCTTGTAGCCGGGCCATTACCTATTTTAACTAATTAGTTACCATTTGCGATAAAAAAATGCTACAATTTTAAGACCTCAAAAATAGTGTTATTGAAAAATAAGTTAAATCAATGAAACGAGCATGATGCTGCATTTGCTATCTTTTTATCTGGCGGCAAACTAGAGAAAAGTACTTGTAAAAATTGCATCCGCAATCAATTATCCAAGATGCCTAACTTAAAGAAAAAAAAGACACTCTTCAAAGTGCTTATTAAAAGTTCAAAGTTATTTCTTAATAAGAGCGGATTAGAATTCAAAGATCAGAGATGGGAACCGCACGCACTGCAATTTTCAGCATTCTTTATTATTAATTATAGTTCGATTCGTTATGATTGAATAAACAACTACAACTAATGAAGCATGCAGTGCCACACCCTACTCTAAGTAGGGTGTGGCAGGTTGAGTATTAATGCTACATAATAGCTCTCCTAATTTCAGTAGGCGTTATTTGCAATTTGTAAAAACATCTTCGTACTTCGAGTAATACTTGATTAAAACATTAAAAAAACGCTATCAGCACACGATGTAATGTATACTTACATGATAATGTTAATTATGCTTACAGTTTAAACAATTATAGTGTTGATTTTCTTGTTTTTGCTAAGGCAAACTTAGGTACAATGTTGTCATTACATAAGTAACGTTGCAATTTCTCCGAATAACCAGTCTGTCGATCTAATTAGAATTTGGATTGTTTGGTTAGCAACGTGTGTTGCGTCATTTATGGAGAAAGTAGTATATTTAAACAAGTAGGTAACATTTGTTACTGACCAAGAGGCCTAGTAGCAATCAAGGTAGCTCTACACAGAGATTATTTATAACCCTTAAAGGCTACAACGGTGTTTTTACAGCCGGGCTAAGTGATGATTTTGTGTTTGTATCTTTTTTCGTTTTTAACGATGATTTCTTGTATTTTCCTAAGTCTACAAACGAAGAACAAACTAACAGCAAAATCTTAAGATTTGACCGATGATATTTTATGCATCATTGTATAGTCCTTATCTTCTTTTATTCCTGATAGATACTGAGCCATAACATTACCTGTAGTAACTATCCATATCGCTAAGTATGATTGAGAAGCAATTAACAAAAATAAGACCTATTAATAAGTCCTTTTTCATGCACGCACATACAAGAATTATATTTAAACAAGCGTATTATTGGGTAAACGTGTGGGTAATTATACCCTTCAACTTAACATTTGGCACGGTTGCGTTTTTACTGAATTTAGAATACATAGTCTAGAAAAGAATGAAGTCACCATTTTCATGTAATGTTTTATAAAATACCAGTGGGTGCCTCTGACTTCCTCTGCGTGGAAAAATTTTGTTCCAATACAAACTTCCACCCCCTTTTCACCCTCTTAAAGGGTGATTTCTAGGATGAAAACTATCTTATGTGCTTTCCCAAGACTTAAACTATCTCTATGACTCATCTAAATCAGTACAACGGTTTAAGCGTGTAGAGATAACAGACAGACGCATTTTCGCATTTATAATATTGTTATGGATGAACTACGAAATAATTTTACCTTCTCATTATTATTAACTTGCAGAAAATACGCTCCTGATCAAATAATCTTCCAAATATATATATTAAACACACACCTATTGAATGGTTGAATCAAGCTTTGCTTTGAAAACACAAAGATTTTTACTTTAAGTGAAATTAAAAAAGTCTATTACTATCGACTTATTTGTTGTCTATGTTTGTCAAAATCGCAAATAGCAAACACGAATAGCCATGTAAAGTGTAAAGCATAAGAGAAGCTTACCTGGAGCCACAGTGTCGCTGATGTACGCAAAAATGTTATCGCATGTGCCGGAGAGGCGCGTGGTGTGCGCCCGAGTGTCGTCGAGCACCAGGTTGGTGAGGAGGGACGCAGGCCGCAGCAGCTCGCGAGGAAAGTAAACGCTTCTGACCTGTAATATTCAACATCATAAAATAGTTGATTGTTTACTAAGGGAGCAAAGAACTATTATTAATTTCGCGTTTTTTTAATCCAGAGCGGAGATATTTATTGCTCTTGTGTGTAAATAAATAAACATACTTTTCTTACATATCCTCTCTACGCTCGGTATTCTGCTTTAGAATCAGGATTCTGAGCTATATTTATTCCGGCAATCAAAATCTTGGATCCAAAACACATTTTCTGAAAAAGATCTCACCTTTCTTGCATTTTACCAAAGGATGAAATTTATTGCTTTATATATATAGATGTGCCAGCAAACTTCGTATCTTGATAAAAATATGGGTCGTAGAAGGATGAAAATTTAGGGTTGTATGTATTTTTGTATGATGTATCATAAAAAAATAAAAATAAAAAAAAATACCAAAAGCAAAAATATTTAAGTGTGGGCCACCCTTCACATTTAGGGGGATGAAAAATAATCCTACAGACCTACTGAATATGCATATAAAATTTCACGAAAATCGGTCGAGACCGTTTCGGAGGAGTTCAATTACGCACACCGTGACACGAGAATTTTATATAAGTATATTGTTATGTTTGCAGTATTTTGTAGGTCACATTTTTAACGTCCGATAATTTTCCCGCTAATTACTCCCGAGAACAGAAAACATAGTTCGTTCATTCGTTTGACGTTATATAATTATACACTTCCGGAAAGATTTATCGGCTCACTTAGCATTTTAAGTTTTGACGGTCCCTAACAAAAATAAATGTTTCTTTGAGGAAAAAATTATTACCTACGCAGTTTTGAAGCTGATATATTAACCATATTTTCGTGTGTTTTTAATATTATTGCTCAAAGCATATATTTTAGCTACAGACCGTTAAAATTTATAACACTCAGTGAGCCGATAGATGTGTCCGGAAGTACACTTTAGATTCTTACTACTTGAGGAAGACTGTGTCTTATTTGTAAGGTAAACCAAATAAAATCTAAATTACCTTACAAATAAAAGACGAAATGGAATGTATTTCGCGGGATTTTTATTTTGGCAGAAAATTTTAATATTAGCATGTTCTTGGTTAGTTTATTATACAACCTGTAGCTGGTTTATAAAATGATCATGATTGATGTTTTTGGTGATTGGAACTTTGACTTATAAAACAATTCCTAATTCAAATCACTTTTAGTCCCTAGGGATTAAAACGCTATTTTGGTCCCTTTTGGTTTTTTTGAGAACAAACCAGCTCTTTTCAAATACATGTGACAAATTACTGCCGACTAAAGTCTGTTACGTATTACATATGTTTCAGCCAAGTTGGATATAAAAAATACCTTCTTTATACGAAACCTAGTAGTTAACAACAGTGACTATAGAATTAACCTAGTACCTATTACTCGAATCCTACCTTCTGTTTAAATTATGCAACTCATGAAACGTCTTTTTAGGGAAAATATTTTCTGATACTTTTTTTAAGTTTCGTAAATAATAGATTTGGGAAAAAGTCTTTTCGCATTATAGTATGTATCAACTTGTAACAAAATCTTTGGCCATTTGTATCTGGCTAGATTCGGTATCATTAAAAAGTTTAAATTGTAAAGAAGATAATTCCACATTCAAATTAGAAAAATGTGTGAATTTCATTTATTTTTCTTACTGTCAAGATGAGTGAATCTAATGAAGAAACTTGATACATTTAAAATTTTACTACAAAAAAGGTAAAATTGCAACGCAAGCCGCAAATAAAATTGTGATGTTTATGTACCTAGTGCAGTGTCTGTGAGAGAATCATCAAATTGGTTTAAGCGTTTTCAATCCGGAAATTTTGATGTCAAAGATGCACGTCGCTCTGGTCGCCGTGTAAAAGATAAAATGGATGCCATTTTTTAAAAAGTGGAGCAATCTCGGCATATCAGTAGTTACGCGGTAGCAGAAGAACTGAGAATGGACCACAAAACAGTTTTGGCGCATTTGAAAAAAGATAGGTACACAAAAAAGCTCGATATTTGGGTGCCTTACGAGATCACTGAAAGAAACCTAATGAACCGTGTATCCATTTGTGAAACTTTATTACGACATAATGAAACCGAATCATTTTTGAAGAAGCTGATAACTGGTGATGAGAAGTGCATCACGTACGACCAGAACGTGCGAAAAGGTCGTGGTCAAAAGCCAGTCAGTCTTCACAGACTCGGGTTAACTCGCAACAAGGTGATGCTGTGTGTATGGTGGGATTGGTAGGGCATTATTAATTATAAGCTGTTACCACCAGGCCGGACCATCGATTCTGAACTCTACTGCGAATAGGTGATGAGAATGCGAATATTCTTGACAGCAGTTTGACTGGTAGGTGTTAATGCATCCGCCGTATAATCCTGACCTTCAGATTTCCACCTGTTTCGGTCTCTCCAGAATTCTATAGGCAGTGTCAGAGGTTGGTTAACGCGACGAGAGCACTTTTTTTTTTAATGTCTAGAAAATGCATTACGCATACTTCGCCAACCGAGGGTTGCGGACGAAGCTATCGGGGACTCCTCTCCGCCGCTTCAGGGAACACAAGTGCTCCGAGAAGCAAACGGGGCCCTACCTCGCCAAGAAGGCGACCGCCACAAGGGCGACCGTAAAAACTAGACAATACTCCTGCACCGGTCACCCGGCGCGCATTATGAGGGACTGCGGTCCCTCCTAGTGCGCACCGGGAGTGCGAGTGATGTGGCGGTATCCGTTTCCGAATAGTCCGCCCACCCGCAAGGTGATTGTCCGCAAGCGGACCCGCCCCGATGAAGATGCCCCGGAGTATTAGGGGCATCAACATCCAGAGAGCTTGTGCAATGCAAGCCTGGCCCCCTCAGGACAGACTCGCGGACCCCACGAGAGTGGGAGGGAGAGCGTAGTTCTCTCCGTCCCTCTCTCGTCCCCCCTTGGCTCTGAAAAGGGCCTTTTGAGCATCGACCAGCCACTTGCAGTGATTGCTAAGAATCACTGTGGGGTGATGCTCCTACCCCCTGGCCCTGAAAAGGGCCGTTTCCCCGCTCTGAGCCCTGAAGGAACTCAGCAACCCCCGGCCCTGAAAAGGACCTTTTCTCCCCCCGCGGCCTTCAATTAGGCTATCCCCCGTGCTAGGTTGCAAGAGATGCGCTGGTCTTCTCCTCCTTCTTCTCTCCCTCCTGCTCCGGAAATACGCTACGAGAACACTGCCAAAATCACTTATCGCGGTTTTTTGATCAAAAAGCACAAAATTTCTATAGCAATGGGATTCTGTCCCTACCAACAAGATGGTTAAAAGTTATCGAACCATAATGGCACCTAAATACTTTTGTTAAATGTCAATAAACTTTATTGAAAAATGTTTTGAAATTACATATTAAATGCGAAGAAACCATTTCCCCAACCTAATATTTATTGGTTACCTAATTGAACAGAGCTATACTTCTTATCTGTATTGATTGTAGAATTTACCGATAGGTATATAGTCTTACTTAAGAACAGTACTTAACATTGTATTTAATTAAGGTCTGTTATAGTGATATGACAGTATAATTTCATTTGACAGACATTCACTATAAATTCTGTGTTTAGCACTAAAAGTCAAAGTTAATCAAAGTGCCGTAGGGTCCTCAGTAACTGCTTTTGTAACAATATATTTCCTAATTTTGTCAGATATCATGTTCAATAGTAAAACGATGAGAAATAACAATTTGTCAAACTCTGTAGCCGAGAGGGAAGTAACATTTAAGTAGATTCATACACCATCTCTCAGATCGCGGGTTCAATTTTAATTTAAAATGTTACTAACCGAATAAGTCAATGTAGGTAACTTGAAAAATACCGTCAGAGATAATAATATACAAAAGAACTTATCCTTAGGTCACGAGTTGAACTTTGTATCCTAGAGATAAACAAAAAGGAAATTTTAAATATTGGTAATAGCAGTCTAAACACTCCAATCCTTGTCTCATTCTTTGAATAACGCAATCATCAACCTTGAAATCAAATCAAAACAAGTGATGTTATCTTCTAATGACATTGAGTTTTTGATAGGTACAGCTCCATGGTATACCATGTCTTTCTTTTAAATTAAATGCTTTCCTTTGTGAACTGAAGCTTTTTCTTTTTGTTAATAAGAGTATTTAAACTTATATAAAACCTAAATAAACGTGTAATGTTAATATCTTCTCTCATCTGCAGATTTGATGCTTAATAACCTCATAAATAATATCCTACATGCATATAAGTCAAAATAAAAAATAAATATAAACGAAATAATTCAATGTTAGATATGCTAAAAAATTACTCCTATGCTCATTAATGCGATATTAAATACACTTAACAATACAAAAGAAAAAAATGTAATTTAATGGTCTGCTTTTTTATCGAGGTCAATTTAAACCTAACTATATCTGTAACACGGATATACATGTCACGGAAACAATTCCATTCAATCAATCACACGAAAAAAAATTAAGTTACAGTTGAACTGAAACCAGACAGATCAATAAGAGATTGGAAAAACTATAGGTTACCACTTAGATACCTAAGTTCTTAGTTGAATACCTAACTAAAAAATTATCTGTCAAAATAACTCTGCATGCTTTTTTTACTTACAAAAGTACAAAAATTTTAGTTTAAGTAACTGTATTGGGCTCTAATCTCGAATAACTTAAAAGCATAAAGGAAAAAGCAAATTTGATTAGTGTTGCCCAAAATTAGGCGGTCTAAATTTGACTATTGGCGCAAGACGCTAGACCTAGACTGGCCAAGTCTCGTCTTGTTCTTTCATTTGGGCAACACTAGATTTGATGATTATATAAATACCTGAAAATATATTTAGTTAAAACATTAGCCTGTTCTAACCAAACGTACATTTGGTCCTATGAAATTGCCGTACTGGCTATCACAAGTCCATTTTTTTTCTTTTTTTCGCTAAGTTGAAATTATTTATATATTTAAAATATATTCTATTTGAAAAAATAGTAATTTGTTTAATAGTTAGCGTTCTGTTTTTGGC